ATTTTGTTGTGTTCCTAGGATCCTTGGTGGGAAGATACATAAAACTTTGTTTCAGTTCATTTAGAGAGAATTCTCTAGGAAGTGGAGCTTCCTAAAAATAGAATGGATAGATTAGGCCTATTGTACCTATTGTACTTCCAAAAAAAAAATAGTGTGTTTGTGTGTATGTATGTTTGTATCTCAGTCTTATATCCAGTCTTGAATTTAGGAATTTTACAAGCCTAAAGCTGTGTAGGGTTGTTTGGTAAAGAATGTGAAATTGATAGGATGCCCAGGTGGCTCAGCAGTTGAGTGCCTGCTTTCGGCCCAGAGTGTGATCCTGGAGTCCCGGGATCGAGTCCCACATCCAGGCTCCCTGCATGGAGCCTGCTTCTCCCTCTGCCTATGTCTCTGCCCCCCCCCCCCCCCGTGTGTGTGTGTCTCATGAATAAATAAAATCTTAAAAAAGAATGTGATATTGATAACGATGTTTAGCTTTAGAGTCAGAAATAGCATCTAATAATAATAATTCACCTCTCTACTTGTTTCTGGGCAAGCATATGTGTACTTAAGTACTTAAGTAAATCTTAAGTAGCATAAATAATAAGCTTAAGTATCTCATATGCAAAATGAGGAGAAAAATACTTTCTTCTCCCATCACTGTATATTTTTGCTGCTTAAATGTTCTATCACTTGGTACTTAGATGCACAGGTTTGCTAGGATGGGAGTACTCTGTTCTCTTTATGAATAGGACTCTTTGGTATAAGCATTAAGACAATTTTAATGTTTCTTACTGTGGGTTTTGGGATTTAGAGAGAAGTAAGTGAATTTGAAAAGTACTAACTAATCTTTAATACTCAGATATATTCAGGTTATCATTGCAGCAGTGCTCCTTGGCAGAGGATGTAGTCAGGGATAGATGACAAACTTGGACAGAGCTATGACTGGAGTGAACTTGGACTTACTCAGTAAATTTGTATCTGTTTTACAGGAATTAAAAATACTTTCAGGACTGTGTTTTAACTGTTCATAATGATGTCAAGATTTGGGCTTTGGATTAGAAGAAATCTGAGCTAGAAAGAACAAATGGAAGATTGGGAAGCAATGCAGTAGTACTTAGCATAAATCTAGTCTCCACAGAGTTCTGAGTTTTGGTTAACAGTCACTAAAGGAAAGGTAGGACTCCCAAAACCAGAGTATCCTGAACACTTAAAATTCTTTTTGTTTCTGTAATCTGTCCTCCGAGATCTTTGGAACGGATTGTGTAAACTGCCCAAATACATGTTTGCTTGCTTGCTTTATTTTTCTTACATATATCAGTTCTTTTAAATATTTGTTTTCAATTATAGAAGCAATAAATGTAAATTGTAGAAATTATATGCACAGAAGCTACAAAATAAGTGAAAATTTAACATTTCCATCATACAAGGATCACCAGTACTAGTATTGTAGTATATATTCTTCTGGATTTTTCTATATGTATTTATGGGGGTATATGCATACATTCTTAAATATTTTGTTACCAGAATAAAATAATTATATGTATACAGTCCTTATCTTAAGTAAGATAATTGTATACATACTGTTCTGCAGTCTTTCTTTGGCAAATGAATTATACCTTTTGGCTTCAGAAATGACTTCATCTAATACCCAAACCACATTTTAAATTTCCAGTTGACCCAGAAATGCCCTCTGCGGCTAGTTTGTTCGAACCAGTATCCAATCATGGGTCACACATTACATCTAATTGTTGTAGCTTTTAAATTTTTTTTCATCCATCTCGCTTTGGGAACTGACTTGTCGAGTGAACTACCCAAGATACTTTCCAAGATGCCCACCTTCTAGATTTATCTCATTACCTTGAAGTGCCATTTGGTTTGTTGCTTTATCCCTTGTTTGTATCTAATGGAATCAGGTTTAGCTTAAGCATTCCATAGATGATGTTGTATTGTGTACTTAATGTATCATATTGGAAGATGTATAAAATCTGATTACATTTGGTGATCTTTGTATGGTGGAAATGTTAAATTTTCACTTATTTTGTAGCTTCTGTGCATATAATTTCTACATTTTACATTTATTGCTTCTATAATTGAAAACAAATATTTAAAAGAACTGATATATGTAAGAAAAATAAAGCAAGCAAGCAAACATGTATATTTGGTTGCACAATCCATTCCAAAGATCTCGGAGGACAGACTACAGAAACAAAAAGAATTTTAAGTGTTCAGGATACTCTGGTTTTGGGAGTCCTACCTTTCCTTTAGTAACTGTTAACCAAAACTCAGAACTCTGGAGTTCTGTAAGAGGGCAAAGTAAATGCTTACTTCTTTTAATTACCATTTTTCAAAATAAAGAATTGGTTTAATAACTGCCTCAAATGGTGTCATATGAGGTTTCTCCACCTTTCTCTCTTTAGAGTGTCAGTTTGTGCTCATGGGTTTTCATTGACCAATGTATATGTAGTTTTAAAAGTCAAAGAATTTTATGTTGAGATGTACACAAAGGAAAGCAACAATTCTCTGCGTTTCCCTTCCCTGCCTTGATTCCTGTTTTCCAGGGGCATATATACTTTCAAACCTTTAAGTTCCTTGTTTTATTTACCTATTTTCAAATAATATGCTACAACTACTCTATTGATTTTTTTTTCACTATCTATTGACTTCTTATTGTGGAAATTAAAGATTAAACTCTTGTTCATCCACTCCCCTCTTTTACATATACATAAAATACATTTTCTTCCCCCTTTACCACCTTCCCAAGTTGGTCTGTGCAATTTTTATTAAATCAACCTTCAGTATTGGCATTGTGACTAAATAAATATTACTCACCACTGATTACAAAACTGATTAGTATTCTTTTCATACAGCTATTTTCCCCTATGTTGATTTGATTACTTAATTTTCTAATTAATTAACTTATTGATTCAATGCTGGGCTTGTAAATATAGCTATAAACCTCTCAATAAAGTTAAAAACTTCTGTTTATCTTTCAGCTCTTTTTTTTCTTGATAAGGTTATCATCCTAGGAAATCCTTTTATCTACTTAGTAGATTGGATCCCTCCATTTTCTAGGTCTCTTGCCTTCCTCTTCTATGATGTACTCCTTAATTTTTTAGTAAATCTATCAGGAGATTCTGAGAATGAGGGAGAGGGCAAAATTGCTGAGATCTTCTACCTTCATACTTAGTTGGGAGTTTGGTTGGAAATGAAATTCTAAGTTGGTAATCATTTTCCAGGTTTTTGATGGCATTGCTCCAATTTTTATTATTGCTCTTGAAAAGTCAGATGCTATTCTTATTCCTGATTCTTTGTATGTTGCTGTTTTTTTTTTTCCTCTGGAAACTTTATGATCTCATCTTATTTTGGGTGTTCTCAATTTCATAGTGAGTGCCGTGGTATGGTTTGGGTATTCCATGGGATCCTTTGTCTAGAAACTTACCTTTTCAGTTTCGGAAAATTTGTTTTTTTCTTTCATAATTTCCCTCCCTCTGTATTCTCTGTTCTCTCTTTGAAGAAATTCTTTTGGATTTTGCACATCCTTGTTTAGTCCTCCAATTTTCATGTCTTTTACTTTCCAGCTTTTTATTTTCTGGGAGATTTCCTCAACTTTAGCTTTAACCCATATATTGAACTTTTTGTTCTTGCTATCATGTTTTTCACTTGACTAAGCTATATAAGCATTTTTTCCTGTTCTCTGAATATTTCTTACAGTATTCTGATTCTGTTTCAGAGGTGTACTATATCTTTTCTTACCTCTCTGACAGTAGTCATTTTGGTATTGGGAGTTGCATTCTCTCTTTTTTAAACATTGTTTTGACCCCCTTTGGTCAGAGGCTTTGCTCACTTTTTGGTGATCCTTGAGTGTCAGTTGAATTTATGAGGGGGGGAACTGAGAAGGTGAAGGGAAGCTTTGTTTTCATGGGCAAGAGTTATTGCTTGGTGAACCTAGAAGCAGATGATGAACAGGAGCCCTGTTGTTTTGTTGGGGAATCTCCCGTAGTTATCACAATTTGTGAGTCCTTTGGTTTGGGCCTCTTAATTTCCTGGAAAGGAATCTTTCAGGGGTATAAGGGTGAATGTCTGTGATTTAAAAGCCAATTAGGAGCAGAGGGCTAGAACTATCACTGTTGAGCGTAACACTTTAACTCAGTCCACTCTCTTTAGCCATGCCTGGGGTTCTGGAGTCCAGAAACCAGTTCCACATTTATCACCACAGCAGGTGGTAAAGAAATTATCACCTTGCTGTGCTGGCTGGGGAAAGGTTGTTGCAGATTTGACTGTTTTTATGCAAATTCCACTCAGCCTCCTCTCTTTAGTCCCACTTTACAGCATAGTTTTTACAAGTACATAGGCCTCCATTTTTTGAGCCTTTCTAGTGTTGTATAATAATAATAATAATAATAATAATAATAATAATAGGTAATGCCTGTATGTACTTTGCACAGATTAGACCTGTAAAGTAAGTACTAGGAGTATTCCCATTAAATAGGAAATTGAGGCACAGAGAGGCATAGGTAGCACAGCAGGAAAGTGGTAGACTCAAGATTTGAATTGAAGTAATCTACCTTGAATCCAGCACTGCCTTTCAGTACAACCAGCTGGCTTCGTATTCATGACCCCATTTCTATAAGCACTTAGGTTTCTCTGCTTGCTGAATCAGTTATTTCTAGGCCACTTACTTTTGACTTCCACAGTTTTGATGATAACTATGTGCTTCACGTCCTCTCCCCCATTCTCTTTGCCTCTGCTTTTCCTATTTTTAATTAATTATTTATTTAAATTCAATTAATTAACATGTAATGTATTTTTGGTTTCAGAGGTCTTTGTTGTCTGTTTTTTGTACCTATTGTATTACTTCATTGTCACTTTTGGAACAGAGATAAATTTTTATGTTCAATCCATATCTGTAATTGAAATTTCTCAAAGTTCTTATTACTTTTCTCTTTTATGTCTTGTTTTGTTGACTTTTTTTTTTTTTCCTAACACCTTCATGACTTAGTATGTTCCATTGTTCCCAGGTTGCCGGACAGGTGAAGCAAAATTGACAAAAGGATTTAATCTAGCTGCCCGGTTCATCATTCACACAGTGGGACCTAAATACAAGAGCCGCTATCGCACAGCTGCTGAGAGTTCCCTGTACAGCTGCTACAGAAACGTGCTTCAGCTGGCCAAGTATGGTTTATTCACTTCCTGGATGCAGCATACCATACATTGTTAAAGGCTCTGGTTTCAGAATGAAACTGAGCCGAGGAAGTCAATTTTGAGGGCCTTGAATCATGTAAGAAGACTCTGAAAATAAAATTAATTATCTTGACACACGTAGCAGGATAAAAAGAGTGGATTCAGGTTACTTAATTTAACCTGTTCCCACTTTATTCAGTCTTTATTTGGGCTATATTTCCCCCAAATAGTATCATTATAATATTGATATAATTATTAAAAAGTATAACTGGGATTAACTATTATACAAGATTTATTGGGGAGTTAAGGAAAGAAGTTGCTGCATTTTTTAAATTAATTACATATGTATGTATTATGAATGTTGGTGGTTTGTGTTTTCTGTTTGATTGCAGAGAGCAATCAATGTCTTCTGTGGGATTCTGTGTCATCAATTCTGCAAAACGAGGTTATCCTTTAGAGGATGCAACACACATAGCACTTCGTAAGTAACATCAGAGATGCTGTGCATACATTGAGCACTTTGTAAGTAGGATTGGGATGCTGTTCATAGATTGAGTCTTACAAAATTTTTTATCACTAGTTAAGTAGTTATAGCCAAAGAAGATGTCCTGATGAACAGATCATGGCATCCTGGAGGGAACTTTGTACTGGTAAGTTGCTGAGCTCAAAATACTTGCTCAGGTTGATGTTTTTCTCAACTTGAATAAAGGCTCAGAAATTTGTCTATTAAATTGGGAAATGGCCAAGAAGTATGGCCAACACATTGGGTATTTGAATCGGTATTCAGAATAATCTTAACAGGCTGTAACAATGAAGTCTAAATAGATTTCATAATATAGTGTGTATAAATAGCACTTTGCAGTTGAAATAGCAGCTTTCAATGTGCAATTTGAGTATAAATCCTTGCACTGAAGTTTAAAAAAGACGGGGCTCGATCATAATGAGACAGAATGTCATATATGTGATATAAAAATATGTTTAGCTTGAGAGAACCCATGATTTCACTGTATTATATGCAAGTTCAGACCACATCTAGACATTTGTATATAGTTCTGGGTGTCCTAACTTATGAGACACTGACAAACTGGAGAGCAAACAGTTTGAAACATTAGTGGTACTTCTCCTAAGCTTTTAGCATATATGATGCTCATCTTCAAATATTTGAAGGATTCTCATTGTGAACTTATTCTGTGCTGCCTGTTTAGAACAGTGGTTCTGAACTGTTTTGGGAGCCATCACAAACTACATTGAGCATTTGATGGAAGAAAGCTGTGGACCCTTTCTCTGAAGAATATACATACAGAGGGAATTTGCAGCAATTTCAGGAAGTTGATAAATTCTTGTAAGGATTGTAGATAAGACTTGCAATGGTAGAAGGCAGGTCTTGGGACTATGTCACAAGTGGGACAGTTGGTCCCACTTTAGGTAGTACTCTCTAATGGAAAGGTATTTTAAGTAAATTTCTTGTCACTAGGAATGTTCATGCAAAAACTAAATGACCATCTATTGAAGATATTCCTCACTAAGGAGGAAAACTACACCAGATGATCTTTAAAGCCCCTTTCTATCTCTAGAATTTAAAGAGGAGGAGCTAAAAGTCTTACATCCATCAAAAAATTACAAAGATATTCAAATGTTAAGATTATTATTATATAGCCTAGAATTTAGAGTGAGGGCATAAATAATCTTATTTAATAATTAGCTATTTTTAAGATATAAGATCTTACTGCTCAAGGATTTTATAGTAAATTTATATATTTTGTAGTTATGCCTTATATATATATTAGACTGAGCTTCTTGATCAGAAATCTTTTCATCTTTGCATTTCCAGTGCTTCCATATGCCAAGAATACTTTACATGTGGAACTTGCTTAAGAAATACATATTTTAAAAGGAGATAAAGAAGTTCCATTTTGTTTCTTCAGTAGCCGTGTGTTTTAGGTGTTCATTTTACCAATAAAGAGGCTCAGAAGTTAATCATGTTCTCATGGTTATGCAGACTCCTGCCTCCCAAGTCTAGTAACCTTTCTATTATACTAGATAATTTAATTATATACATAACATTGAGTTAGAACTACTTCCGTGGGAAACTACTGTTACCACTACTCTGCATGTATTCTGAATGGTGCCTTACCAAAACAAAGTTCCTGCCTTTATATAATTCTTTCTGGCAATGCTCTTGGCAGGTCTTGACATTCTCTGATTCCTTCATCCTTACCTCATCACCCCATAACTTGAGCTAAGTCTTTTTTTATGTCACTATTTCTTATTAATCATACAGGTTAGAATTTAAAGAGGCAGCAACATTTTATAGAAAAGGCTCTAAAAAAGGAGTCAAGAAGACTGGTTTTTGATCTCGAGTCTACCAGTTTCACCAACTTTGTGGTCCCAGCTAAATGACTTGATATACTACCATAGAGGTGTCAACTTTGAGCAATAATTGTAATAAGAACAGATGAAGATGGGTCTAAGAGACTGTGATGAAGCAATTTCTAAGAATTTGATTAGCACAAAGGAAATGGAAAACGTAAAGATGGACAAGTCAATTTAAATTTTATAAGACCTGTTTGACTTACTACATCTTAAATCTAATAGCAAAACTGTACCATCTCATTAAAAAAGTATGCGCACACAAATAAACAGTTGTGGCCTTTGCTCACATACTTTCTGAGCATTTGGGAAATCAGTGGCTTATATACTTTTGCAGCATATATGGGCCAAGAACAAATTTAATAATTTTTTTCCCTACTTATTACACTATTACCAAAACTTATTTCATTTGAAACCTAAGTAATAGGGAATCCCTTGGGTGGTTCAGCAGTTTAGTGCCTGCCTTTGGCCCAGGGCATGGTCCTGGAGTCCTGGGATCAAGTCCCACATCTGGCTTCCTGCAAAGAGCCTGCTTCTCCCTCTGTCTGAGTCTCTGCCTCTCTCTCTCTCTCTCTCTCTTTCTCTCTTTCTCTCTCTCTCTCTCTCTCTCTGTCTCTCATGAATAAATAAATAAAATCTTTAAAAAAAAAAAAAAAACCTAAGTAATATCCTCTTGATAGATGTATCAAGACTGTCTTTTTTTTTTTTTTTCTTGGTTCATGTACAGTTCAGTTCTCCATTAGGAGCCTAAAGAAACCTCTGGATTGAAATAAATTTATCAAGTTATTTATTCATTCAGCAAAATTTTGAGCAATTGTGTGCAAGGCCCTGTACTATATAAAAGAGGATACAGTGGTGAGAAAAAAAATGAAGCTGTTTTTCCAGATGAAACTCTGAAAGAAACCATTTGAATTGGCAGTTCGTACTAAAACCTTATAGCCATGACACCACTCTTTCTTTTCTCCTTTTTGCAGAGTTACCTTTCTTCATGAATTCCGTTGAGGGAATTCAGTTTGGTTACTATCAGGCATTGTATTTTGTTCTCCAGTGGAAATCCTACAGTTGTATGCTGGGAAACCATTATGTGTGAACATTAATTAAAACTTGGTGTCAGGGCACCTGGATGGTTCAGTCACTTAAGCTTCTGACTCTTGATTTTGGCTCAAGTCATCATCTCTGGGTTGTCAGATGCAGCCCTGATGTGGGCTCTGCACTGAGTCCCTCTCCCTCTGTTCTTCCCCCTACTCATCCTCACGCTCTCTCTCGCTTGCTCTCTCTAAATAAAATCTTCTAAAAAAACTACAAACTGTAGTGTCAAAATAAAGAAAATCCCTTTTTGAAAATTCATTTTTTAAAAATTGTTAAAACAGAATAGAGAAAAAAATGAAAAGTAAATTTGTCATCTAACAGAGGGAGAATTATGAATAGCTTAGCTTGGTCCTTCAACAAATGGATCTGCTCTGTTAGATTCTCCAGATACAGTAGTAAACAAGACAGGCAATATGTAGATAACTAGACCCATAAAATGTTAATTCAGCTGCTAGTTATTTTTGAATGATTGCTTGCTATATTCTTAAAATGTGCCAGGTTCTGGTAATATTAATGTTAGATATACTTGGCCTTCAGAGAGCTCATGGTCTAGCTATAAAATGCAATGAGAAATTCACAAATGGAGGTCCTTCAGGTTATAGGAGGAGCACAAGGTGGGGTCATGGAGTTCTGTGTACTAGATGGCCTTGGAATGGGTCTTGAAAAATGACTAGGAGTTAACTAATAAAAGGTCATGGTGAATGAATGGTATTCTAGTCAAAGGTAACCATGCAAACAGAGACAGAATAGCATGGAAGTTAAATGGAATGTTCTGAGTACAGCAAAGAAGCCAATTTGCCAAAAGCATAAGGTTTGTGGGAGGACTAATGGGAAATAGAACTCTAAGGATAGGGGTGGAGGGATGGCCAGTTAAGGTCCAAGTGTGGCAAACCGTGTTGGGGACTTAGATCCTAACTTACAAGCAGTGCAGAGCCTCAGAATTACTTAGTAAGGAGGGTGACAGGGGAAGGAAGATAAATCAGGCAACAGTGAATATATAGACCTAGAAAAGAGAGAAACAAGAAAACAGGAGCTTATTGCTAAAGGCTTCATGAGTATTAAGATCCTGAGAACAGCTACAAGAGGAATGGGTGTTAGAAATAACAATAGAATTTTAAAGGACATGATGCAGAATAAAAGAAGAGGTGAAAGGAGTGTTAAAATTTTCAGATTTGAGCTTGGATAAATGATTTGATGTTGCTATCTGGTAAAATAAAGAATATAGGTAAAGGAACAGATTTTGAGGGAGAAAGATGGAGGTCAGTTTCAGACCTGTGGAGTTTGAGGTCTCTGGGTTATCTGGGCGGATACACCCAATAGGCAGGAGGGAACTCAGCTCTTCTATTCGGAAAACAGAATATAAAGATTTGAGAATGTCAGTATTTACATTGATGCTAAGCCAGCAAATTGGTGAGCTAAATAGAGAGTATATATGTCTGTCTGTCTGTCTGTCTATATATATATATAACAAGAAAATAATTGTGGAGGACAGAACCCTGGAAGACAACATTTTTAAATGGACATATAAACTAAAGCTGGACAATCTTCTAATGAGATAAGGACTGAGAAAAGGCCATTAGGTTTCATTGATAGGAAATTGATAGAGAAGAATCAGAATAACACAGGAATTAAGAAAAAAATAATTCACCTTTGGTCAATGGGATTTTGACAGGGATACAATCCTGAGTAGGTCACTGAATACTGTAAGTAAATGAATAGTCAGAGAGAAGGAGGCCCTAGGGAATAAAAATAAATTGGATAAAGAAGAATTGTCTGAAATCAGCATCTCCAATGGCCAGGCACTATTTTAGATGCTGGCAATAAAGTAGTAAGTAAAATAAAACTCTTGTGCTGTTGAGGTATTTTTGCTCTAGCAGATGGGGCAGGGAGGGCAGAGAAGATACAAAATAAGCAAGAAACTCCACAAATTTTTTCTATAATATTTGCTCTAGAGGAAAGCAAATCAGAGAAGAATTTTTAAATATGGTGATCTGGGCAAGCTTCATTGATAAGGTGTCATTGAGCAGAGACCTGACTGAAATGAAGAGTGATCCATGGTAAAAATAAAACTTCGAAGAGTTTGAATTTTCTTCACACAAGTCATTTCTTATTTATTGAATAAGTTTTTCTATTCTTTTCCTTAGGCACTGTCAGGAGATTCCTAGAGATTCATGGGAAGACCATTGAAAAAGTAGTATTTGCTGTCTCTGAACTTGAAGAGGTATTTTGCTAATGATGTTGCATTGTTTAAATCTTATTTTTACTTATTTATCTTTGTCTCATCATTATCTATTTACTGAATTGCCAGTAGCATATCCTAGGAATCTGTGTATGTTTTTGGCAGTGGGGCTTACCATCCTTTGTTGAAAAGAACTCAAAGTCTAAAAACAAGTCAAAAAGGAGCATTTTGATCATGTTTTTACTGCTGAACCATTTTCTTTTTGTGAAATCTTACAAGGTAGAGTTCTGCTGTGCTCCCTGTTTTAGTTTAGTTTTAGTTCTTAAAACTCCTTGAGGCATCACCTGAAAACAGGTGACAGCCTCACCTGGTGACTAGCATTGATTAAGTTGAGGTTTATGTTTTGTTTGTTTTGTTGTGTATAGTTAGGTTTAATGTATTTCAGCTTAACTTAGAGCCATTTTAGAAAACTAGTTTTGTTTTTTTTTTTAACTTTCATTAAGTTTTATTTAGTTATAGTGTGCTCTATCCAGTTCAGCTTGTATTATTTTGCAGTTTTGTGGCCTTGGGAAAGTTACTTAACCCCTCTGTGCTTTGATAAAATAGGAATATTAATAATACATCACAGGAGTTTAGTGATGAATGAGTTAACACGTGTGAAATATCCACTTATGGTATCAATAACTATATACATGATATATAAATACTTTGGAAATTACGAAAATGGGGACACCTGGGTGGCTGAGCAGTTAAAGTGCCTGACTTCAGCTCAGGACATGATCCTGGAGTCCCAGGATCGAGTCCCACATCGGGCTCCCTGAATGGGGCCTGCTTCTCCCTCTGCCTGTGTCTCTGCCTCTCTCTCTCTCTCTCTCTCTCTCTCTCTCTCTCTCTCTCTGTTCCCTCATGAATAAATAAATAAAATCTTTAAAAAAAATTGCAAAAATGAGGCATATTTGCTTGTCTGCTGTCTCTTCTTGTTTTACCTGGTTTACCTATCCATTCAATGATCCTTTATTCAGTGTCTGGCATCCAGGCTTATCACACTAGATTCTGGGAATACACCAGTGAACAGGTCAGGGTCATTGTCCTCAAGGAATCCATTGGCTGTTGGTGAGGGCAGACAATTCAGATAAGTTATGATAATTGTGATAAGTGCATTAATGAAGGTATAGAATGGATAGGAACACATAATTCAACCCTGCACAGGGTTAAGAAATCCTTCCTATGGGAGGTGATAAACATGAAATCATAAAAAATAAGATATTCCAAGGGAGGGGTAAATGACAATATGACATGAGTGGCAGGTTCAGTGACCTGAAATTGCCAGGATGGGGGTCACATTTAACTTTATTGACCACCTAACAATATCCTGACCCTGAACGTAAAAACTGCTTGAGGGCCCTAGACAACATCTAGTTGAGCTTAGAAGTGGTAAGGTTTTTATTTTTGACAGAGGCTGTCTTCACAGTGTCTAGAATAGCACTAAAGGTCTGCTGATGCCTGCTTCATTGCTTCATTATTTTTTACAGAATGTCTTGCTTTTCTGACACAGGCTACTTACCAAAAGCTGCTACCTCTGTACTTCCCAAGGTCATTAAAGGAGGAATGTCGATCATTGCCATACCTACCTGCAGATATCGGAAATGCGGAAGGGGAGCCTGTGGTACCTGAGCGACAGATTAGAATTAGTGAAAAACCTGGTGCCCCGGAGGGTGAGTTCTGCTTTTCTTAATTTCCCTCTTTTATCAGGGACTGATAAAACACTGCCAAGAAGGAGAAAGTTCATTCTACCTTTGGGGAGCTCTCTATGGGTGTGACATTGAGTTCAAGACCAACTTAGACGTTGTTAGAGGCTTATTCTTGTTAAAATTTACTCTTTAAGTTAAAATACATATATTTACACACACACACACACACACACACACACACACACACACACAAACCATTAAGTCTGTTAGACAGTAGAGATCCAGAAGTGGATATAACAACTCTTACACCCTCATGAAGTTTATAGTTGCATGCGGGACCCTATTTGAGACAGTAATCAAGTACATAATTATCTAAAATTTTCAGCAGCTTTAACAATATCCTCCAAAAGCGAGACCTAACATTAAATACTAAAACAGGAATGCCATTACCATTTGTTTTGTTTCTTTAGGTTATATACTCATGTAGATTGAAGCAATGGTAGAACATGGTAGGATGCGAGCCCTTCTGAATCTGAATCTGTGCTGTATGACAGCTTATATTGATCTTCATGCGTACATGGTTAAGGTCGTAACTCCCTTGTGTGGAGACATGCCTCAGAAGCTTCAGAACTGGATGTGAAAATTCAGCAGCTCAGGAATTACTATGAGATTCCTACTGTGAACACTTTTAAACAGGCATCAAAATCTGTAGAAGGTTGTTCATCTCCTTTTTATCACCAGTACATAGCCTTAAATCAAGTGGAGGGAATTGGAAGTGGTGTACCATCAGGAAATATCTGAACAAGCTTTGCTGGAGGGCTACCCATGTACTTTAGGGTATCCCCAGAGTTATTTGGAAATTTTCATGATTGTGACCACCAATGTAGAATATAGTTTTTCCTAAATGTGTAAATGCATTTTGTATGACAAGGAGTAATAATTGCAAACCCAATTTGAGATCATAATGCTAGGCAGATTAGGCTAACTCATTAGCCAAAGGGTTCCTTGTATCTACCATTTTCTAAGAGTGCTTGATTACCTCATAGATGGAAGTCCTAGTATTATTCATAAATATTTTCAATTAGGATGTTCAGTCTGTTAAAATAGATGTAAAATCAGCTTTACCTGATTTGTTCATGGGGTTTTTGTTTTTTGTTTTTCATAAAAGCAGATTTCTCAGCCATTAGCCTGTCACAGATTAAGGAGCAGTGAAGTAGATGTGAGGAAGTCCCAGCTGGATGGCCCACATGGCTGGGCTTCAAGTAGTGGCATTGCTTTGGGAAGCTCCCCATGGTCCAAGGCATTTTTTTTTTCTTTCTTTAAAAAAAAAAAAAAAAAAGTTTTTTGAACAAAGCTAGTAAGGCAGTAGGGGAACACACTAAGAGATAGATGACCCATTCCCAAAGTGCTGACTTCTAGCCAAACACAAAATGATCGTCTGGATACATTAGAAAGTTGATTTATTAATTTGTAGTGAAAACCAGAACACTTATGAGTCAGATGATTATATAGGCATGACCAGTGTAGAAAACCAGGATGCTAAATTAGAATTAAAACATATCTTAGTGAACGTGGATCCTATCCTGCAATATTGGGCAAACAAGCTGCCATTGCGAGTTATCCGACAAAAGGACTCAAGTGTTTGTGTCAGTTTATCATGTGCTCCCTCCTTAAAACAGTTCTGGATAAATGACTCTAAACATTCGTTCTTTATATTTCTCTCTTCTTTAAACCTACATACAATATGATTCTATCTTTTTGTTTATCATTACCTTCTGTTCTTCCTTCTTAAGTTTACACTCAAGTCCCCATGATTTGATTTTGTGTATTCCTAAAACTTCTGTTACACAGGGACAAGTGGTTTCTTGCATTATTTTAGTTCTTCAGATGCCGAAATCTGATTTCAGTTTGAGTTTCAAAAAAATACCCTCAACCCCAGTTTTTTTGATGACGTCATAGTCATCCCTGTTGCAACATTCACAGTCTGTAGCATTTACTGTCAGATTTTATCATACACTCTCTGTTGATAGTATTTTTGTTACAGACAACCAAGAAGAGGAGGCTGAAGGCTTGGGAGTTGACCTTTCTTTCATCGGCTCTCACGCTTTTGCTCGAATGGAAGGAGATATTGACAAGCAAAGAAGACTGATACTTCAGGGACAGTTATCAGAGGCGGCCTTGCAGAAGCAGCATCAAAGAAAGTAAGGCAATCCCTTTGGACTGATAGACACAGAGGGACATGAGAAATCAGCAAGGAGCCTGCATGGACTAAATGATCTGCATATAACATATTCTCATCTGTTCTTCATGACAAAGTAGTGGGAAATATTGTCCCCATTATGTAGATACAGAAATTCAGAGTTAGTTTATCAGTGGTCACAATTAATATGTGGTGAAACCAGTGTTCAGGTGCATATCCGACTTCAGAGCTCCTACTCTTCCTGCTGTAAGTGTAGTGCCTCTGGGTGAAATTTCATTCTAACCTGGGAATAGGAAAAGGGAAAGGCAGAGTTATGAAGTTTTTACTTTACTATATTGGTAATTAAAGCATAATCTACAGTTTTGTTAAATTTAAAAGTACTTTATTTCTCCCTGATTTATCCCAAGGATCTTATAAAGCCATTCCATTTCTTTTTTTTTTTCTTTTTTTTAGCCATTCCATTTCTTTCAAGTGTTTTCATTTTTTTAAATTTAAATTCAATTAATTAACATAATGTATTATTAGTTTCGGAGGTAGAGGTTAGTGATTCATCAGTCTTATATAACACCCAGTGCTCATTATATCATGTGCCCTCCTTAATGGCCATCACCCAGTTACCCCATCCCCTGACCCCCTTCAGCGACCCTCAATTTTTTTCCCTAGGATAAGAGTCTCTTATGGTTTGTCTCCCTGATTTCATCTTGTTTTATTTTTCCCTCCCTTCCCCTATGATCCTCTGTCTTGTTTTTTTAAATTCTACATGAGTGAGATCATACGGTAATTATCTTTCTCTGATTGACCTATTTTGCTCAGCGTAATACCCTCCAGTTCATCCATTTGGATGTAAATGGTAAGATTTTATCCTTTCTGATGGCTGAGTAATATTCCATTGTATATATGTACATACCACATCTTCTTTATCCATTCATCCATCAGTGGACATCTCAGCCCTTTCCATAGTTTAGCTTTTGTGGACATTCCTGCTATAAACACTGGGGTGCAGGTGCTCCCTCAGATCACTACATTTGTATATTTGGGGTAGATGCCCGATAGTGCAGTTGCTGAGTTGGAGGGTAGCTCTGTTTTCAACTTCTTCAGGAACCTCCATACTGCTTTCTGGAGAGGCTGTACAAGCTGGCATTCCCACCAATAGTGCAAGAGAGTTCCCCTTTCTCCACATCATCACCAACAATTATTGTTTCCTGACTTTTTAATTTTAGCCATTCTGACTGGTGTGAGGTGGTATCTCATTGTGGTTTTGATTTGAATTTCTCTGATGCCGAGTGATAGGAAACATTTTTTCATGTGTCTGTTGGCCATCTGTATGTCTTCTTTGGAAAAATGTCTGTTCATATCTTCTGCCCAGTTCTTAATTGTATTATTTATTCTTTGGATGTTGAGTTTGGTAAATTTTTTAGAGGTCTTGGATACTAGCTCTTTATCTGATAAGACATTTGCAAATATCTTCTCCTGTTTTGTCAGTTGCCTTTTGGTTTTGTCAACAGTTTCCTTTACTGTGCAAAAGTTCTTCATGAAGTCCCAATAATAGTTCATTTTTGCCTTTGTTTCCTTTGCCTTTGGAGATGTGTCTAACAAGAAGTTGCTGTGGCTGAGGTCACAAAGGTTGCTGCTTGTGTTCTCTGGGATTTTGATGGGTTCCTATCTCACATTTAGGTCTTTCATCCATTTTGTGTCTATTTTTGTGTAAGTGTAAGAAAATGGGCCAGTTTCATTCTTCTGCACGTGGCTGTCCATTTTCCCAGCACCATTTATTAAAGAGATTCTCTTTTTTCCATTGGATATTCATTCCTGCTTTGTCGAAGATTAGTTGACCATAGAGTTGAGGGCCCATTTCTGGGTTCTCTGTTCTCTTCCATTGATCTATGTGTCTTTTTTTTTTACCAGTACCAAAACTGTCTTGATGACTACAGCTTTGTAATATAGCTTGAAGTCCAGAATTGTGATGCTACGAGCTTTGGTTTTCTTTTTCAACATTCCTTTGGCTATTCAGGTTCTCTTCTGGTTCCATACAAATTTTAGGATTATTTGTTCCAGCTCTGTGAAAAAAAATTGTTGGTATTTTGGTAGGGATAGCATTGAATGTATAGATTGCTCAAGGTAGTGTAGACATTTTAACAGTATTTGTTCTTCCAACCCGTGAGCATGGAACATTTTTCCATTTCTTTGTGTCTTCCTCAATTTCTTTCATGAGTGTTCTATAGTTTTTGGAGTACAAATCCTTTGCCTCTTTGGTTAGGTTTATTCCTAGGGATCTTATAGTGTTTTCTAAAGCAGTACTGAATAAGTCCTTTTTAAAGCATAAAGGAAAGCAGCTTATGTACTTTTGGGTAAGCTTTTCTAAGGATTAACAGTCCTTGGAAAGCTAGCTGCTTTTCAGAAACTTCTAAAGGAAAGAAAAATTATAAACTCTAAACAGTTCATATCAGCATTACCTTACAGTGTTGGTTGAGAGATTAACATCTCATAGGATTGTTGTAAGCACCTAGTACTTACCAAGCTCTTAAAATCGGTCACTGCTGTTTTCCTCGGTACTGAGCAAATTATGGTATATTTTGCCTTTTAGCTTTGTTACTTGCCATCCCTTTTGACTGGAATACCCTCATCCTTTAATTCCTGCCCATTCTCTGGGTTTCAGCTTAAAAATGATTGCCTCTAGAAAGGTATCTCCCTGGAGATAAGACAGAAGACAGAAGAGAAGTCTGGAATAGATGCCTCTTCCTCTTTTTTTTTTTTTTCTTCATATCCTGTACTTAACCAATGTATAGCATAGTATTTGTCACAGTATATTGCAATGATGTGTGATTGTTTTAAGTTTCCAACTATAAACTGGAAGTGGACTTAGATGACGTCTGGAGTCCCTTATAGAATTAGAATGTTGTATCTGGGTGGGTGAGTTTCTGGTTTTCATTTTATTCTGATTTTATTATTAGAAACAACAGCAAATTTGCCACGAGGGGGCACCAATGAACAGTTTTTCCAAAGGCAGTCACAATCAAATGATAGCTTCGGTGGTTTCTAGACTTAACATGTGTAAGAATCATTTGGCAAACATTTTTCTTTAAATACAGTGAGGGTCCTCTCCCTCACATGACTGGGACTTTGGCATCTGTATATATTTTGAAACTTTTTCACATTGTGATTCATGCACTGCTAGATCTGGGTACCTTTTTTTAGTCAAAAGCAGTGGTTCTTAAACGATTTGGTCTCAGGTCACCTTTGCACTCTTAAAAATTGTTGAGGACTCCAGAGAGCTTTGGTTTACATGGTTTGTACCTGTTAGTATTTATCATATGAGAAATTATTTATTAGTTTATTTAAAAATGGGCCATCATGGTTTTTTTTTGAAAATTAGAAGAAATGGCACTGTTTTACCTTTTTGAAAAGGTTTAAATGTATGCCTTAATAAAAGATGGCTGGGGGATCCCTGGGTGGCGCAGCGGTTTGGCGCCTGCCTTTGGCCCAGGGCGCGATCCTGGAGACCCGGAATCGAATCCCGCGTTGGGCTCCCGGTGCATGGAGCCTGCTTCTCCCTCTGCCTGTGTCTCTGCCTCTCTCTCTCTCTCTCTCTCTGTGTGTGACTATCATAAATAAATAAAAAAAAATTAAAAAAAAATTTAAAAGACGGCTGGATTCTTATATCAGCATTCAGATTGTTGCAGTAAGTTATCTTGGGTGAAGTATACAAAGAAAATCTAACCTCATTCAGATATATAATTAGAAAGAGGAAGAGTATGTTAATAGCCCTTCCAAATAACTTATGATATTCTTTGATATTATAATACAACTTGGTAAATGGTAATTTCTTGAAGTTTAGTTGTAATATGGAATCTCAAAGCATATCCATGAATTTTTATATTCTGTTATATTAAAATGTGTTGTTCTGTCCTGCTCTTTGAATGAATTTTATAATAGGAATTACAGCATGAATTTATAACATGATGCATTGTCTTTTGGAAAATAATGATTCACTGAATTGTTCAGATTTCCTAAATATTGATATATTTCATTGTACAATATAAAAAACTGTGTTAATATTGCCACTGATCTCATCAGAAAAGTCTTAAGTATTAGGAACTGTAAGCTTCTGATAATGGTTACAAATTTTTCAAAATAATATATATTTTTTAAAGCTCAAGTTTTATCACAGACAAGAAATACCATTGATTTTTCTTGAAATGACAGGATCACTTTATTCATTTTTGAGGACACATCTGCCATATACTCATGTTGAGTAACCACAGTTTGTCTGCCTGCCAGTAGTTATTTGAACAGTGTTCCATGAAAAAAAGCAGCAAGTTTAGCTTACAAGTCCTACAGTGCCTTTCTTCAAGACAACCTCATACTTTGGTATGCAGAAGTGTTTTATGTGTTCTTCCCATTTTATATGTTAATATTAAAAAGATGTGTTCCCAAGGGTTGATTTAATTAATAATTTTTACCTCCTCATCGAAGACATTCTTAAATTAAACTGGCTTTTTTTCTTATTCTTTATTTTTTTTCCTCTGTGAGAATTTTGGCAATGAAGAACACAATGGCTGTTAGTACAGTCTGGTGCCTCTACCTTGATTCATTCTAAGGCACCAGTAGTCTACTTAACAGTTGCTTGGTGCAAATGTCAACACAGTGAAAAAGGAAACTGATGTTTCAGTATGATTGTGAAACTGTCAGAAACAGTTTTGACCTTGCAAACCCCCTGAAAAAGTGTCAGACTATGGACCACACTTTAAGAACCACTGGTCTATGGTCTCTCACCAGTACCTTATAGTTGAAAGGAATTTTGGTAATCGTCTGATACAGTTTTCTGAAGTGGAGTACAGTCTCTAGGCATTAGAATCACCCGGGCTGCTTGCTAAAAATGTGTATGCCCCACACCAAATTTCCCACCTCTGTGGAAAGGGCTCAGAAATCTTCCTTCTGAAGTTTCTTAGGTGATTATTTTGTGCTCCAAATTACTGATCTATCTTCTTTACTTTACAGGGG